AGAACTCTCCATTACTTCCGGTTATATCGGAAGTCGACACCAACTTCGTTATTTTAAATGGGACACTATATATTATTGCATTTTCGGATTCTACGTGAATTTTCAGGGTCACTTTATTAAATATTTCCTATACCTAGGAGTTATAGAATTTGAGATATTAATATTTAAAGAAAAAATTTAACAGATCCAAGGGTCCGCGGACATGCTAGTAACTCTTTTCAGGAGCGTGAGTGATATCAAGTGGATTTTTGGTACCTGTAATAGGTAACACTAAGATGTGGTATACCAAAAAGTTAAAACATTTAATACTAGGTGTTTCATTTCTGCCGTTACCTTTTGATAACTTCAAACGGCTATAACTTAGTTAACTTCAACACCCTATATTTTTTACTCTATCGTATGCAGATTGAAATTTTCTTTCGAGCCATATAATCATTGTTAGGGTTGCCGTACTACTTTTAGAGATATTTACAATTTTCAATTTTTTGGACAGTTTTTGTCGTATCAGACCTGCTGTCAAATTGACCATGACCAGAAACGCTCCTAAACAATTAAAATAACTTGACATTTTTCAAGTCACATTGGCAAGATAGTTGGCAAATTATTGTTATGTCTGTAATAATTTTTGTTGAAAATTTAAATATAAATGCCTGGGGATCGTTTAAATTATACTTATGAGGATTATTTTAATTGGTTTGTTGGCATTAAATTTCTACCACCCTGTATGAAATTAAGTCATTTTGAAATTATGGCAGGGAAACTTAGAGTTTTAGTTATGTCCCCTATAAATTGTATGGCTCTAACTTTATTATTGTTATATTATTTTTATTTTTATTTTTTTTTGAAAAAAATTAAATACCTATATCGAAAGCGATTAACTTTACGAATAGGAAATCTTTATGAAAGTTCAGCTAAAAATTGACGTAGAATCCAAAATTGTAATAATATAAAGGGTGTTTCATTTAAAATAACGAAGCGTTCGGTGGACGTTGAGAAGGGCATGCCCGAATACACTATTGCAAAATTTTCAAAATTAAAATTGAAGTAGTCTCTGAAATATGTCTAATGTCTCGTCACCGTGGGACACCCTGTATTTATGCATGATAAGTTTGTATGCTTATATGATGTGGTGCACGTTGAATTTTATTTTTTTTCAGTGTTGCATCAACTTTTTTTAATGATTTTTTTTTAAGTATACATCAATCCAGAGAATCCAGAAATAATAATTATTTTATTTCTATTTATTTTTTATGATGATGTGTGTAATTATTCTAAATATTTAAAAGAAGTAAAATATGCCCTTTAAGGTTACCTAAAATCTCACGTTGATTTTATCTTTCTAGCTCAATTAGTATCCGAGATAAATCTGTTTGAATGATAGTTATGAGTACGTTCATTTTTTTCCATATCTCAATTAGGCCTGGGTAAAAAATCAATATATCAATCGCAGCATCGATTCGCAGAAAAAATCGAATCGGATCGAGATATCGCATCGAATCGAATTGTCGAATCGAATCAACATGTCGAATAGAATCGGTAGTAGGCCTGAAAATCGGTATATCGATTAGTATCCATTTATCGAAAAATCGAATCTGGACATTTATGTGTAGCTCAAAATTGCTCGATTATTTTCTCTAATGTTTCCGTTTATTAAATCATCTTCGGAAACTACATGATACATTTTCATAACATTTAGTAGTTACGAGTATTGTGTCTATTGAAAACTTTTTAATTTTACCGCAATTTGGTAAAATATAATTTAAATATGTATTATATCTATCTGATCATTATACATATGTAATAATATTCTAGTGTGAGATCAGGCCCTTTTGCACAAGCATACCTTATCTATCTTGAGGGTGTGAGAAACTGTATCGTGTGGTCACCAAGCGTCTTAAATCTTGGAGTAAAGACACGATACAGTTTCTCACACAGCAGTCTATCACCTAACTTAACCTAACCTACCTACTGTGTTACGAATTTAGGCAAATAAGTATCTCACAATATATTTGGTAGTGAACTCGGTATCATACACAGCAATTATTACAAACAAATTTTTGTCCAACTCAATTATTTTATCCCCTTTGCATATAATTAACAAAAATAAATAAATTTTCAATAATTGAAAATAAAGGAATAAAACAAAAAACATTAATAGAAGATGAAATCATCACTAGATTATTTGCCTAACTGCCGATTCAAATAAATTTAACTCGACAATTACATGTTCTGATTTAATTTAGTTTGATTCGAATTGACTAGCCATTCGATATTTCGATTTGATTTTTTCGATGCATCGATTAAAAAATACAAATGAATTGGAATTGATATATTACAGAAATAAGATCCGAATCGATTCGATTCAAATAAAATTATACAATTCGATTGATTGATACGAATCGATTTTTTTGACGAATCGAAAATCGATTCTGTACTTCGCGATGGCACAGGCCTAATCTCAAGGTTAAAGCGAATTGCGGCGGCAAAACACATATGAATCGCGTTCGTACATCAAGTCGATATTAAAACATGAGATTCGATATATGTATGTAGGTTGTCATTTGGGGCCGACTATACTCCGCGGTCGAAATTATAGAGAGTGGCTCATAATATAAAAACACTATTACCATAACGCGTATAAAATATAAAATGATTTTTATAACAGTTCAATATTATTTATCTTTGTGCCGCTCGCTACGCACATCGATAGAATCTATAATCGTCTATAGACTGTGTTACACTGAACGTCGATCTATCTCTGTCTTTTGCACTTGGTAGGGAATAAGGAAATGCTTTTTTAGTGGGTGTAAACGGACTTGATTTACCCGTCCTGAAAAACGTCATAACATAGGGTAGACGAGGGGTCTAATTCCGTGGCTATAATAAATTTATAAATTAAAAAACACAACTGGGACGTTTTAAAATGCTGTAATAATTAAAATGGATCAAAGTGCCGGTTATAGCAAAGCTTAAAAAAATATTAGATGTTATGTTTTATTATCTTTTTTAAATATTTTCTATATCTTGTTGCCTTTTAAACAGACACGCCAATGGATTTTCGTTCCCGGCACGCTTCATCCCCCTCAATAGTCCAAAAGCTAGCGATGAGTCACCCTCTATAATTTCGACCGCGGAGTATAGTCATACGTATCCAGCTAAACCCTTTGGGCGTAACATATTTGGTTATTTTTTTTGTAACAAATTCATCTTGCCACTAATTTAACTTTATTACAACGAACATAAAATATTGTGATCTGCACTTTAAATAATAAAATTTTCATTCTTCAGTAGACATGAAGACGGGATATCTAGATACTAAAAATAAAAATATGATGGGTTTTTTAAATATTCGTAGGCGTAAAAAACGAGGGTAAAGGAGTAACCTTAGAAAAAATTATGGAGAAAAATAAAATATCCTTAATTCATATCAGAAATGTTTTTGTTATTTTTAATGTTAAATTGTAGGTTAGTAGGCTACGGAACAAATAAATCAAGAGAGAAACTAAAAAGCAGGTAAATCACAAAATCTCACGCTAAAATTTAAAAAAAAATCGATAGGAACATATTAACATGCGAGGATATTGAATACATGCAAATACCTACAGGGTGTTTCTGAAATGAGTGCGTTCCTTCAAACAATAAATTATTTTAGACAAAAAGTTTCATATATCGCAATTTCTGAGGATGTTTGTTTATGTAATGATGAAACTTGGACCACCGATTTTTCTAAGTAGAAGTAAAAATCTGCTATAAATACGTCAGTAACGAAGATACGAGTATCACTAGAAGAATTTAAGATCTTCCAATGAGTTAAATATGTGATTCAAATTTTGACTTTTATTTCTGAGCCACCTATGTATATAAAGTTATAAATTAATATATTAAACACCTCTTAACAATTAACAAAATAATTGCATTTATATTATAGGCTTTCACAAATTTAATATATAAAATAAAATTTAGTATCCTATTTATTACATATAAAAATATGAATGTCCAACTTTTAAAAAATATAGATCTAGCTATTATCTTCATTGATGCTTATCTGTTTTTATAATATAGAAAAGTAGAGCACGATGGATAAAACATTATCGACACTCCTTTTAAGTGAAACGAACTTGAATTTAATTGTGTCATATAAAAAGAAAGAATTTAATTTCTCAAATGCATTAAATTCACTATTGTACCATTCACCACTTTTTATTTCTAAAATTATAACGGTAATGTCAGTCAGAATTAGAAATATATTAAGCTAATTCAAACAAACTGAAATAAATAATTTTTAAAAGTCTTATCAAATGTAGTCAAACTGTTCGAGCTATTCGGCACCAGAAATCTAGGTGTCGAAGAAGATTGTTTGATAAGATCTTTAAAAATTATTTTTTTCAATTTGTTTGAATTAACTTAATTCCTTTATACTCCAGTCAAATTAAATTTTGAAAATGAAAAAAATTTTTAGTAGACATTTTATTACACTTGCGCAGACTGATAATATCAAAAAAGCAACTCGAAAGAAGTGACGCTAAGTTGGCAAATTTACGTGTTTTCTTCACTTTTTTTCTGCCCACGAAAATCTAACGACCTATATTAGTCATGTTGTAGGCAATTAAGTTACCTACAATTTAAGGTATCTAAAGTCGCATATTTCACCAATATTTTTAACAGAATTAGAAAATTGCAAGAAAAATATTACATGATTTTATTGATTTTTTGTACATTTAGAGAAGAAAATATTTAAAGCAGAAAACAATATTTTTTATTAATTTACAGTGATTGTGCGTCAACAGAACAAACTTTTTTATTTTCGATTTCTTTTAATTGTTGTCACAATATTGATTGATATTGAATTTTACGTGTCTATAAGAATCGACAAACAACTTTTATTATTAATGACTTTTTTCAAAAAATAAATTAAAAATAAAAAAGTCTCTGATCTCCCAGACGTATCCTTTATACTACCCTCCACTACCTATTCGTAATACTATTGTTTTTCTTTCCAGGAAAGTTTATAAGTCAGCGGTTAATCTATGCGCTTCTGGCTATTCTTCTGGTAATAAAATTGTTGGCAGTAAAAGTTCTCTTCGTTTTACCCACCATTGTGGGAGTCGCAGCAGCAAAAAAGTTGCTGCTGAAGGTGCTCCTATTTCTGTTCCCAGCTTTGCATCATCTATTCAAATTGTGTGCCTATGTGCCCTACGGCGCCAAACATCACATTCATAAACATCAGATATCTCATATTCATGAAATAAGTCAGCATCCTCACTACCATGGATCAAATCACAAACGTAAAGGATATGTCGAAGCTGATTCATCACAAGAAACGTCACCATTACATCACTTTTCGGACCCACACAGAGATTATCATAAACCACATGAAATAGTTGGTCATGTTCACCCAAAAATACCTTATTTCGAAAAAGAGTGAGTATACATTATTTCGATTTTATTTTTATTTTATTATAAATAAGATGACTTCAGAAGGAGCAGTAAATATTTTGATGGACTGCAACATCGATTAATTGAAGTAAACTTATACGACTTTCAAAATATTGAAAATACTCAGTGGCATCGAAGTTCTAGGGTTCTTAATGACTGTATTTCCCAGTATTTTTACGGCAGGTTGACTTTGTGTATTATTAGCAAACGAAGGAAAGTCGAGAGGATGAAATACATAAATATCTATATATTAATAACACAATAGTGATAGAAAAACAACCACCTGCTCCATGATAATTATTTAAGCTTTGTGTAAATTAAAAAAAAAGTAGTCGAATTAGAGTTTGAACGTGAAAAAATTATTTGTAGACATTTTATTACACTTAATACAATATCAAAAAACTCAAAAGAATGACGCTAAATTGGCAAATTGCAAATAAGTTGCAAAATTACATGTTTTTTTCAATTTTTTTACTGTCCATGAAAATCTAGACGACATATCGGAAAATTAATTGTTTTATGTTGTAGGCAATTAAATTACCTACAATTTAAGGAGGTTTATCTGATATGGAATTGACAAACAAATATTCATAAAAAAATTAATACTTATAAGCTTATTTATATGAAGAAAATCCTCAAAAAAATTATGACTAGTTTGGATACCTTTCCACTTAGAATGCGCAACAATTGACGAACAGTTTCCACAGCAACTTGCAGTAGCGTAACCCAAAAGATCTGTCCCGCGATTTTTATCATAGCTGTAGCCGCTGGCGCACGAATGGACCTCGGCATGAGTCAAAATTCCTAAAGGGACAGGTTGCCTGACTTTCTACGTCACTGGGTATGCCGATCGCATCGCGTACTAAACTTGATAAATGCAGCACGGTCTGTCATAATTTGTGTTGAGATTAGAGTCTGTACTTGGTAGTCTGTGCTGTACATGTTTTGTGGTTATGCATTTTGATTTTTGCTATTTTCTGTTGTGATTTTTGGGATATTTTTTGTGATAAGAGTCTGAAAATGTTTAGTTCCTTTTTTTATGTGATACAAAGTTTTTTTATATCTATGAGTACACTTTTATTTTAAGTTACCAAATATTAAACAATTTATATACTATAAAAAACAGTATACTATAAATACAGGGTATCCCACCACGAACTCCATTGATGGATAACTGGGAAACCGCTCTAAGAATTTTTTTGAAAATGGGATGGTGTGACCATGAGGCCTACCAAGCTAAAATATTTTGAAGTTCATCATACTTCTGGTTATACCGCAAGTCGATACTAACTTTCTTATTTTGAATGGAACCCCCTGTATATTATTGCATTTTTGGAAAGAACATCTATTTTTAAGTTGAAAACATATAACACACTCCATACTTAGGATTGACCGTTTCCTAGATATTTTGATTTTTAAGCAAAAATTAACAAATTCATACTGTCAGCAAAATTTAGTTTTCTCGGAAACATAGGTTAATTTTTTGTGCAAATTGGACATTTTGTAGAGGAAGACCTAATTTATCAAATTTGACATGACCATTTTAATTTTTATACAGGGTTGTCAAATTTTTTTTATCGAATATGAAGTTCAGAAAATGTGGAAAACTCTAAATTAATAAATGTTCAAAATATCTTCCTTCAACTTCTAAACATTTTTCAAACCTTCGAAATAGTTCCTTGTGAGTCGCTGCTCTAATAGAATCCGGTGATAGATGCTCAAATGTTTGCCTTACTCTACGCATACAATTTTCCTTTATTGTTACTGGAGTACTATACTCACTATTTTTTAGTGTCTCAAATAAAATAGCATATATCACCGGATTCTATTAGAGCAGCGACCCACAAGGAACCAAATAAATTTGACACCGGTGACAGTTATCATGTTGATTGTTACTTACCTGTCACGGCCAACCTAAAATATGCGAAAGAAATGGAAACATCATATTAAGAAAATGGAAATGTTTATTCGTACATAAAATGAAAACCACTGGGTTTAGGTATAGGGAAACTTTAACAAAGTTATACTAAATTTTAGTGCAGAATTCGAATAAGTTAAAATAATTAGGGGTTTCCATATAAAAATTTCGAGCTTTTCACATTTTCTGAACTTCATCTTATATATAAAATTCTCGTGTCACAATGTTCGTTCCCGTACTCCTCCGAAACGGCTTGACCGATTCTCATGAAATTTTGTGAGCATATTGAGTAGGTCTGAGAATCGGCCAACATCTATTTTTCATACCCCTAAATGTTAAGGTTGGTCCACCCCAAAATTTTTTTTTTAATTTTTTGGACAAAATTTTTTATTTTTATTTTTTTATGATGTGGCTTTAAAAAATACATACAATCCTAAATTTTCACCCTTCTACCATCAACCCCTATTTTTTAATAGCGATATTAGTAATTCAATAATTTTCAACCCCGGTCGATAACTGATCAATTATCACTTGATCATTTTTTTATCCCCGCCAGGCGTCGACCGGTGTCACTTCTGACCCAGTAAACAGAACGGAGTAGGGATGAGATCTCTCTCACACAATAAGCCGTTTCTCACTCTCTACAGTTTTCGGCCATTATTATTATTGTTTGTGCATCAATCGTAATAGTGACGTTTACTATTAACATTAATAAAAAAAATATACACGATATACACTGAATAACACTAAATATAATATAGATGGTAGAAGTGAAATTTCTTTATGAAAAATCTACTAAAATAATCCTAGGAATAATTTATATGGCAAAACAACGTTTGCCGGGTCTTTCTAGTATTCTATAAAAAAATTTATCAGTCTGAATAAAAACTGTAAAGTTTTCATGTCAAATTCGATAAATTAGGTCTTCCTCTACAACATGTTCAATTTGCACACAAAAACGGGAAAACTAACTTTTGCTGACAGTCTGCATCTGTCAATTCTTGCTTAAAAATCAAAATATCTCGGAAACGGTCAATCGTAAGTATAAAGTGTGTTATATATTTTCAACTTAAAAGTAGATGCTCTTTCCAAAAATGTAATAATATACATTTAAAATAAGAATGTTAGTATTCACTTTCGGTATAACGGGAAATATTTGAAAATATTTGCTTGGTAGGCCCTACGGTCTGTATCACACCATCATAATTTCAAAAAAATCGTTCGAGCGGTTTCCCAGATTTCCATCGATGGAGTACGTGGTGGGACGCCCTGTATAAGCAACTTTTATAACTAATAAACTTATAAATTAAAGAATTGTTTTAAACCCCCCCCCCCCAACCAACTTTACATTCTGGTTACGCCACTGGCAACTTGTATAAATAGGAAACCGATATCTAAGAAACCGTTTGACAGCTCGTAGAAATCGATAAGGTACTTGTAAGATACATAAAGATACATAACTTATATAATAATTCTCCTTCAAATTGCTGTCGTTGAGTAACTTAACCCCCATTATGCCTAAAAGCGGCAACGCCGCGGTTCTCGGCGTAGCGTATTATTTGAAATTCGCATATGTGACATATGGATGTATATTTCAAGCTTAGGCATCTAAACAAACAGAATGATCGAACGCGAGCGAACGAACGCCGAGCTGAGCGCGCCAGCCAAGTGCAACGTTGCCAAATCTAAGGGCTCACTACTTTAGTCACCAGCGAATCTACAGAAACTCTCATTTGACTTTAATTACTGTAAAATAAAGGTCGAACACGGAAAAATCAGTTTTCGAAAATTGCGCATAATTATTGCAAAAAGCGATGGATGTTGATGAAATTTATGGAAAAGACGATTAATCCAATGATCAACATGTGTGCCAAAGGCCGATTAGATTGAAATTATTGCTCCAACTATTTGTTAATTAATTTCTTTCGATTTTTTGCAACTACATAATTATTCAATTACCTTATCGTAGGCATAGATTCTAATTTATAATTGAGGGTCACGCAAAAGCCAATCGGGAATTCTCTCTTTTTGCATTAAATAGAGCTTATTTTTACGGTAATTTTTAAAAAGAAATAAATCACCTACGCCTTTTTGTTCACAATATAATTTTTTTATAACGTTAATTGTTAATTAACTATTGAACGTATCGGAACGGGATTTTAGAGACAGTTAAAGAAAGGTTTAACCTTTTATTTTCAAAGAGTTTTACATTGATAGTTCATGTACTAAACGCGTTAACGTTAATGAATGGCATGTACACGAAAGAATGAGCGCCGGACACACGCACGCGCGTGAGCGCCGCGCCGCTATCGGTGCAGTGGCGAACTATATTTTTGCCTTCAATATTTCAAATTCGGTTGAGACTCTATCTCGAGAACCGCTAATTCACTTTTGAATCTCAAATGCATTAGTAATAATCCCATAAAAAAATTAATTAACCCAAAACTATTACAAATAAAAAAATTTACAGGATGGAAAAATGTTTAATAAAACAAAAAGAAATAGAAAGACCTTCGATATAATTATGAGTAGATTTCCAGGCCCTGTTAATTTAATCCAAATACTTCGTTTATACTATGTCATACAGTGACATATGTAAGTGTATATGAAAATATAAGTGTAATTTCAATATAGTCTTACTTAGATATTTCGAAGTTATTTAAAAAAAAACATTTTTTTATGTCAACGTTGACGCTCTGTAGCGCCTAAACGAAGCAAGGATACAAGCAAGTTTATTTCAATCACAGCAAACTGCGGTAGGGACACCTTGTGTATGGAAAAATTTAAAATAAATCATTTTTGATGCCCTATATCTCCAAAATTGAGAATTTTACTCGTAGATACATATATGAAATATGATATGATATATGATATATAAGGTATACGAAATTTTATAAAAGTAAAGAAGACAATTTGCATTTATATCCATATTACATCCAATTTTACTAATTTAACAGTTATTATTAACAAATTTAAGCAAAGGTCGTAAAGAATTATTGAACAAGTGTATTTGCCGTGTGAATAAAAACAGCAAAATTATTTAACATTTTATTGATTTAATTAATTT